GGAAAAAATATAAAATTTGACTGCATAGGAGAAGTTTTTGAGTAATCTATTATCAAAAAAAAAAAAACTTTTGAGTACTGGCCAAAAAACGGCGCTTTCATTTGGTCCGTAAACTGAAGCAATAATAAGCAGTCCTCAACTGCCAGCTTGACAACGTGATACTAATATAGAAAAAACTTCCCTGATACCTTTTTCGCTGTACTCGCTTTCACTCAAATCGCTTTCTGCAGCGCTTTGTGAAGTAGGTGCTGAAAAAAAAAACAATAATAAGCGGCTTGTATATTCATTATACTAAATTCACATCACTTTATAATCTGCGTAAGGCAACAATCGTTAAAAAAACGAACCTTTATCGCTAAAAGTTGAATCAATCGATCCCTGCTTCTGCACCGATTCGTCAGCTTAAAAAGGAAGCTGTTAAGGAGCAAGCTTAAATGTAAAAGTGGTAGAAGTATCTTCCTACGCGATAAATCTTTTATGTACAAATAGTAAGCAATTTCAATTTTTACCACTTTTCCTTTAATCACTAGGGCAACAGGGGAAAGATGGCCTCATTTTTTCAGAAATTACTTTTAAATAATCCTAAATTACACAAAATCCACAAATATGATGCACTTTCGACAATTTTTACTGCTCAAGTTCCTTTACTGTTCGTCATTAGCTAAAAATGCTCCCTCTCACAAATTATTTAGAGTGCTCTTTGCTCAAAAAAAAAGAAAAAAAACACAAATTTTAAGAGGCCAGAGTATTTGTAACAATTTTCTTGCGCTTTTAAAATCCAAGCGATTCAGAGGGTTTGACAACAGCGCATGCAGTTGGGTGAGTAAAATTTCTCAGCTGAGTAAGCCAAGTGCTTTTATATCACTATATCTCAGCTGAGTAAACCTTTTTAAAAAAATCCTGGTTAATTCTGTGGAAATATCGTTTGTACAGGCTCGAAGAGGAAACGCACAAAGATTGGTAGTTATCAGTCTGCTAAAAAACGTAAATATGCTGGCAAAACTAGATTTTTGCTCAAAAAAAAAAGCACTGATTCAATATGCGCTTTACAAAAGCGAGATGTCTGCACAGTTGCCTGCATAAGTGTTCAAATTCATTTATTTAAAAACATAAACTGAAAGCAGTTTATGGCCTATCAAGACCCACATTTTATGGCAGTCTTTCATCTGTGGGAAAAAAACGGCGAGCATGGCCTGATGAAATGTAGCGCTCTTGTTGTGCAGAAGCTTGGCGACTCGACTACGCCAGCTGGATGAA